TCATGTTTTTGGACTGTGGGAGGAAGCCGGAGAACCCACGCACGCACAGGGAGAACATGCAAACTACGTGCAGAAAGACCCCGGGACAGGAATCGAACCCAGGACCTTCTTGGTGCAAGGCAACAGTGCTGCCAACTGTGCCACTGTGCAGCCCCCAGAACGAAACCAAACAATAGAACCTAATGTTCTGTTGAAGAAAAAAACCATTCTGGTTTAGTTATGTCAAATAACTGTAGCACTTGTCTGTGTCAACAAGGTATAGTGTTTAGGATACAAAAGTGATGTGAAAGCAATAACTTACCCTCACTGCGACCTCGAGTTTCTCAAATGTTCCTCTGAAGCAGATTTGGAGCAAATTATCAATCATTTTGGAAGGGACGACCTATAAAAGTGATGTGTGTAGGAACCATTACATAATGTTTCAATCATACACAATGTTTAAATTACAGCTGATGAAGGTGTCCATCATTTCTCTCCTCTGTGACTCACCCCAGCGATCTCAATTATAGCTTGGTCAGTGATTTCCTTGTCAGCGTTGAGACGCGCTGCACTCTGAAGAAATGTGATGGCTTTCCTCAGATCCCCCTCAGACAGCTGCACCAACGCTGCGATGCTCTACGCCATGCCATGTTAAAAAAGAGAGAGAAGATCTTGATGTACATTCAATATTAAATTTACTCATGATGTTCATTTTATATCACTTCATACATTTGATCACCAAATTGTTTCCCAACACACAATCACATATTTCCAGGGCACGGTTATTGCACTTGCACAACATCCTCTTATTTACAACAGCTGCGTTCAAGAGTCAGAAGAATAAAAGTAGAATAAGAAGATAAGAAGAGCCGGTCTACTCTCGCAGCATAACAGCACAAAATCAACATTTGAGGCTTGCACAAACTCAGCATTAGCTCAGTTTTTTCTTATGTCTCGTTTTTTGATCATCCTCAGCAACCTCTTTTCTTTTGACACACAGCCAACGCAGCCATCCTTGACCTGAGGATGTTAAACACACTAATATCGCTAAGTGTCATTCTTAATATATACTGACAAAAATTACTTATCAATTTATAAAAATAAAAACTTTGCAACTAAATATTTGCCTATGAAAGGGTTGTGTTCTTACCCGCTTAATGTGACTTCTGTTTACGGACATCACTGGACAGTTTCTCAATATTGAGCATTTAAGATGCAACTTTAGTCTTGATGCAGTAGCTAATGTAGCATGCCTTCCCTGGACATGTCTTTCCAGATTACTGTATTTTCGGACTATAAGGTGCTACTTTTTCCCCACGCTTTGGACCATGCAGTTTTTAGCCCGTTGTGACTTATATATGTACTTTTCCAATTTTTTTTACCCCCCAAAATTTGTTGGGGCGGCTTACAGTAAGGTACACTCTATAGTCCAGAAAGTACGTTCTTTTTGTTATTTGACAACTTCTCACTTCAGAGCAAACATTCAGGTAATCCTTCCGCACTGGCAATGAATGTAAATGATTCGGTCCAAGAATTGTAGAATCTCTCCTCAGCTATTTTTCTCTTTTCTCCTTTGCCCACCACACACCCGCTAGTTTGTTCACAACAGCCACCTGCCTGGCACCCCACCCAGCTGAAAGAAACGTGTGTCACAGGCTATGATGCAAATCTTTGTTGACGGAAAAGTTGAAATTTTATATTTATTCTACACATTTTTATAGCATTGGAAAACATTAAGAGTGTTTGTGTCATGTTGTTCCTCCTACAGAAATCATATTAAAACAAAAAATATATTTTCCACCCCCATCTTTTTCAATTTTCAAACATTGAAAATGTTTGAAAATTTTCACTTGGGCACTTGGCAGCGCTAAAGAGCCACATGCGGTTCCCAAAGATGTTCTGGGCCCCCCTATGGATTACAATAAAATTCCTCTCAAATCATGGACCCAGAAAAAATCCAGCTTTCATCTCCTACCTCTTTGGTGTACTTGAGCTTCTCCTTATCACAGATTTCCAGCAGACGTTCTTCTTGGATTTGATTGGCCAGAGGTTTGAAACGAAACTTAGAACATCTAGAGGTAAGAGGCTCAATAATCCTGAGGAATAAAGAGAGGAACACAGTTGAGTCAGGTGAGCCAGGTCACAGCCCTGAAGAGGGCTGACCTTCAGCACACCTGCTGATGTAGTTACAGATGAGGCAAAAGCGGGTGGAGCGGGACTCCTTCTCCATGGTCCGTCTGAGAGCAGCTTGGGCTGGAGCCGTCATGGAGTCTGCCTCGTCCAGGATGATGATCTTAAAAGGAGGACATGGCTTTCCGCTGCAAACCGAACATCATAGCTCTTGGAAATGTCATGGGTTTGAGCCTTTTTTTTTATATGAAAAACCTTCATACCATTTGTGATACACACAAAGTAACAGAATCTTCAAATTCAAGTAAGTGCCTGATACAAAGAATCAAGCACAGAGATAAAATTCTGCAGAAGTTCAAACTCACTCTGGACGCGTCCCAGCCACAGTAAGCTGAGCAAAGTTCTTCACTTTCTCCCTGATGACCTGGATTCCTCGTTCATCCGAAGCATTCAGCTCCAGCACCCTCTGTCGATACAGCTCTGGCCTGATGGGAGGCACATTAGGAAGGAGTTCAAAATAAAAACAATGGAACAAAGAACATTCCGGTACTGCAGCAAGTTAAAAAAAAAACAAAAAACAAAAAAAAAAAAAAAATCGGTCACCCATAAAGTTCTCTAGCAGCAGCTAGGATGGTGGAAGTCTTTCCAGTTCCAGGAGGACCGTAGAAGAGAAGGTTTGGAAGCTGAAATGAAGCAGAAATGATGTGACTTCAAGATAAAAGCTAATTCTCAGACATGTGCCCTTCACCACTGTGTGGTTTTCAGTCAACATTCATAAATTTGGTGGCAAATTATAAGTTTTTTATTCAATATAGTCAATTTATCATGCCCACTTAATTCTGTCCCAAATTGTAGCTGGGACAGAAACTGAGAGTAAGGACTAGTTCCCCCAAGACAAGCATGTCCAGGCTGGAGGAGGACCCGGGAACCTTAGGTTCAAAGTCATTTAAAAGGTGACTTATGTGTGGGTTTTATTTTATTTATTTTATTTTATTTAAATTATATTACATTATTTTTTAAATAAATAAATACATCGGTAACAATGTTTTCTGGCCCAGAAAATCCCAGAAATTATTGCAATAAACAATAATATTGCCATTTTTAAACCACTAATAATATAAACATTGCATAACAATGCAATTGCACCCTTTTAGAGAACAATGAACTAATTTTGAAAGAACATTTAGCACTGGAACTGGAAAACCTTTTAAATATAAAAAATTGGAAGGGGGGTTACTGGGTTTGCGTTGGGCAATAACATAGACTGTCCAGTTGACAGCAGAGGGTTCGGGGTGACAGCAGCTGTCACGTTCAGCTTTTAAAACAGCTTTTCCCTGGCTCACTCCTCCTCACCGGGCTTTATGCTTCGCTCTGTGGTATTAGACCAGGAGCCTGACAGGTAACTGAGGTAATGGTCACAAAGTGACCAGAGACACTGGTCACTTTGTCTCTGGTCACAGAGACCAGTGTCACCAAGTGGCACATGCTGTCAGATGCTGTGTTTAGTTGTTACAGAGGAAAGGAGAGAGGAGTAACTAGAGGTGATGGAGTGAAACTCTTTGTCATTCTGTCTCTTTTGTAGACAGAAAGAGATGACAAATACAAACAACTATATTATCACACTCATTTATTATTGAGGTCATTTTAGTTTGTCATGTGATTAATTGATTTATTGTTTATCACAACAGGCCAACTCATCATGTTTGTCCAAAAGCACAGATGATAAAGCTATCAATAAGCCAATGTTAATTTAAAAAAGAAAGTTCACTGTATACCAAAAGAAAAGCTTGATTTTGCTTTTTATTGGCAAGACTGAAATTAGTAAGAGGCTAGATCAGGAGTGTCCAAAGTCCATCCTTGAGGGCCAGCATTCTGCATGCTTTAGTTCTCTCTCTGCTGGTGACAACCTTTCAGCATGTCAATGTTCTTCTTAGGTCTTCTATTGAGCCATCATTTGATCCAGGTGCATTAAACCAAGGAAAGAACTAAAACATGCAGAATGTCGCCCCTTGAGGACTGACTTTGGGCACCACTTGCCTAGGCTGACACTTACATCTGCTCCTTCCAGTGACTTCTTCAGCACTGCGACCACCTCGTCCTGGAAGGCCACCTCATCAACACATTTGGGTCTGCTGGAGTTAGAAAAATACACAAAACAAACCTACTGTTATGTATTCACATAATTAGTTACACTCATTTAATGTATTTTGCAATTCACTCAGTGGAATGAGATTGTTCTCCGGTCCAGCTGCCTTATATTAAATCTAAAACGGACCTAATTTAATCCATGTGTGGTCCAAATGTGGTCAGTTTTATTTTCCAGAGCTTGCAACAGATATGTGCAATTTAAAGACTTTAATTTAGCAGTAAACGGTGTCTCAGAAGGCGAAACTAATTTACTCAATAGCTATGCTTAGTGTCTGCAGTTTTCAAGACAGCCATTATTGAACTACTGACAGCTGATGAAGGGAACTCCTTTATTTTAGTCTCAGAAACAAGGTTGGGCTCCACTAGTTTTTATTTGTCCACTTTTTGCACAACCTGTTTGGTAAAAGATTATAACCTTTTGACTGAACATGTTGCAGGCTTTTTGAATGGGGAATTAGACAGTAGAGAAAGAAACTGAACAACAGATGAGTAAGATCCAGAAGTGCTAAATATAAAAGTGATAATATTTCGCCCTATACAGATGAATACAGATCTTTAGAAAACACAAAGCCACACATCCTGTCCATCCTGTCAGCCAGAAAATAAAACGTTCTGTCTCCTGTATAAGTATATTTAAAATTCTCGTATTGACAGATGTACACTGCAGTTCGACACATGTCGAACTGCAGTGTACATCCATGTGTATGAACCTTGAAGTGAAGACTTACTATTTCTCCACCCAGGGAACAGCGTTCGCCTTCTTCTCAGCACTGGGTCCCGCTGTCACCTTATCCTTCTGGGGTCTGCTGGTCTGGATAGTTGTTCCTTTGAGGAAGGCCTGCATGATTCCTTCAGGTAAAAGCAGACAGGATATTGTGAGATAAACCGACCTGCTAACTAGAGCACTGGTAGCTTGTGAACTGTTTCAGTCGTATCAGTACCCAAACGAGTAAGCTCGAAACTATACCAGAAATAACCTTTAATCTTACCAACAGATTTTCAGACCGGACAGAAGATGTAATACGCTGTTGGCTTTAAAACAACGACCTGACACAGAAGCAGTTTCTGAGCTAAAACAGCTCCGTGTTCCCGCTCCGGACGGGGCTGAACAAAACTTCCGGTTATGTCACCTTCCAACTTCCAATCAGAGCCTGCGAAGCTTTTTGGCTTCCTTGCTGACGTGAGCGCCGTATATCACATCAGACATAATAAATAAGATTGAAGTAAACATGGACACCTATTTTTGTGTAAGAAACAAACATAGGTGAGAGGATTTAGTGTGAGTGTCCGCGCGCGAGTGTTTGTGTGCAAGTATATAAGTGATATAGTCAGTGAATTTCTCAATTACATCTCCGAGCTGTTGATGGCGGTAATGCACTTAGTTTGTAAACTGCCAGAAAACACTACAGAAGATAAAGGAGGAGAAAAAAGAGGAGGAAGACAGCAGCCATATCGCTTTTCGTTCAGTTATTCTAGTAAAATGTGCTTTTTTCCTTCCTTCTGGCTACCCCAGTTAATGGTGACAGCTTTCTCCTCAGCGTGGTGTTAGTGAGATCCTCTGGAAGTCTCAGTCTGTTTTTTTTTTTTTTTAGATAATCAAGGTTTCAGATTTTGTCTCTATAGGGAGAACAAATAACAGATGGTCACTTACAAACCTACACATTTATAAAACGTAAAACATAACCTAGAGTTTCTTAGTTCTAATCTTTTAAGACAGTCTGTCTAGTTTAATATTTACATTAAACTAGTTTACACAAATATGTAGAGCTAATTACATGTTTTAATATTGCATTCTGGTTGACTCTATTGCGATGACTGAATATTCCCTAACATTGATATAATTATCTGACATAAAAGCTACTGTGAAAATAAAATAAATATTACTGTTATTCACTTGCAAATTTTACACAAGTGGTAAAGACTGTATGTCATTCAAAATTATGACACCTCTGATGCCTTTAATGTCATTCAAATCCGACACAAAACATAGACAATAGAAAATGTAACTGGAATTGTTTTCAAAACAAGCTTACTAATAATTTTATGCATCAAAATAGGAGTTTTGTTGAAGAAAGAATTTTATGAAATTTGAAGATGAAACGTTGGGAATTTTAGTGTTTGTACAATTTTAAACTCAAATCTCCCGTCTTTGTTTTGTAGATTTCCCAACGATGAGTTGGCAACGATGAGAGACTGGGGCCCCACCAGAAATCTTGCAATAAATAAATAGATTAATCCCCCCAACAGCTGCTATTCCAATTTTTTTTAGTATATCAAAAGACTTGCAACTGCCTTGCTGTCTTTGATCCAATACTGATAACTATTGGACCAAATAATGATCAGTATTGTTCATGAATTTTACATGCAACATCTACATACAGTCTGCAATTAAGTTGCTTATTTTTTTTTCTATTAGTTTTAGATTACTGAAATGTCTCTCTCCCATGAGCAACAGTCATAGGCAACATGCAAAATGTACATGAAGCAATCCATACTTCTCAAAAAATGTGATGTAGTTGCATTTTATTCAAGCTGCAATATATAACTTTAACAATAAATATGTTTTCTCCATATTTGTTAAAGCTATCACCATGTCATGCCAGTTTGTTATGAGACATATAATCTGTGAAAACAATCAATCTCCTCCACCTCCTCCCTGAACTACTATTACTGGCTAAAGTAATACAACTTTCCAACCAAAACAACCAATCAGAACCAGTAGGACGCTCTTAGCACTGTCAATCAACCTCATTCACTCACGGCTAAAGATGGTAATGGTGGAGAAACAACTGATCGTTTTAGGAAAAATAGTTATCTGCTGTCATTGGTAGCTATGTTAACTAGACTGAGCATTCACAACAAGCTGTGCCAGCTACAGCATAGCACAGAGCGAGGGGGAGGAGGATGAGCAGCACCACATAAGTTTGTGATTGATAGCACTAAAATTCTCCTGCCTCTGCAACTGATAGCAGAGGAAATAGATTTTTCACAAATGATTTCTCATGCCATAGTGTCACAACATAATGGCAGTTTTACCAAATATGTAAAAAAAATAAATAAATAATAAAAAAAATATATATATATAATCTGCAGAATGTAACTTATATATATATATATATATACATATATGTAAAATATATATATGTATGTATATATATATATATATATATATATATATATATATATATATATATATATATATATATATATATATATATATATATATATATATATAAGTTACATTCTGCAGATTTAATTTCACTTAGGAAAGGTTTAATTTCACTTAGGAAAGGTTAGTCAGGAGGGACGTGGGTTAGAACTGCTGCTGACTGACTCATTTGTTGTTAAATGTGGTAAAAGATACAAGTAACAAGTTAAATATATGAATTGTTCGTAATTTTGTTGCTTAATTCATTAAATGTTAGTGAAACAGAGGCAAGCAGTAGTCTGTAGCTTAGGTAACTGCTGAACGGTTGATAATCTCACACAGTCTGCCCACCTCTCTGACAAAAACTGGGTTACAAATTGACACTTTTACCTTTTTCTCTCTGTGTCTCTCTATTTTCTGAAAACCTAACTTTATTATTTTTTTGAACAGCATAGTAACTGCCACAGTCGTTCTTGTCTTCCACTGACTGCTGCTGAACACCTTCACCATCAAGCTCTTCAAGCAGGAACAAATCATGTCATGCAGATTCAGGGGGGTTTTCAGGGCAAATGGGAGTGGTAACATTTAATTCTTACTGCTAAAAAATTTCAGAAAACACAATATATTTAATTTTATAAATGGCAGGGCCCCATTTTTTATAAATTATTATTTCCATGGACATAAAAAACAAAAGAAAAAAAAATTGTGGAGGGCCCCCTGTTCGGCCCTTGGAATTGTAATAATTTTTCCCCCCGGTACGGCGCCTATGATGAGAGAAAAAAGTGAAAAGTTGTTTAAGAAGACAGGAGTTCAATGTACAGCACGGTTCTGCTGGAATTTTCTTGCATAGTATTTTTGAGCTGCTCTGAGCTGCTCACTGTAGCACTCTTAAGCTAAGACTCCTCAGCAGGAAAACATGACTTGGGGAGGGTTGCATGATGGAAAGAGTCTGGCAGTAGAGGTTCCCACAGGTCAGTTAGGTCCTTTGTGAGATTCTGGGAGCATTTCTCAGTTTTAGGTCTGAAAAGCTCCCCCAAGTGGCTGTGACAAGAAGAGGTGAATAATATGAAACAGAACACAATTACTTAAGTTTTTACTTGACTTTTATCAATGAAACCTGATTTTAGCAGTTCAGCCTGACCATGCAGAGCTCTTTGCCTTTTCTTTTCATGTTAAGATGCTCTGTGCATTTGCAGCCATGCATCTAGAAAATAAGCTCTTCATGTTCATGATTTGCACACATACGCTGTATTCTCCGATGTCTTGAAATCATAAAAGGAAGTTGTCTGGCATCTGGTCTGTCATTAATGCTGATTATATTAGTGAGGGATGGGCAGACTGAAGAGCAGTGAGTGAAAAGGCAGAGAAGAGCACAGATGTCTTCAGCTAATTGCTGCAACTCTACTTTCCCATGAGAGCAAGGCCCCACAGAGATGATGGCATTGTTTGCAATTGTGAAAACCTGGAGCAGGATCAGCCCTGGGTCTGGTCACTTTCAGTGGATGAAACGAAAATCAAAGCTTGAAAGATTACTTGGGCAAGCCCAGGAAATTATAATGGAATGCACATAGCTAAAAAATGGTTTGTATTTAATCACTTTTCAATCACTGTCCCAGTTTTATTATTATTATTATTATTATTATTATTATTTATTATTATTATTATTATTATTATTATTATTATTTTACCTTTTTCACCCAGTGGAAGCTGTCTGTATAGTTTAGTGTCCCGTCCATGGCCAGAGCTGCTCCAGGCTCCAGGATTTCAACATTGGTCCCTCCCTTTCTGTTCCCTGAAAGCAGGTAGAGCAGCCGTCTGACTCATCCTCTGCCTCTGCATGACTCTGCGCCTTTATCAGAGCAAACAAAGCTTTATTAAAGCAGCAGGAACAGCGGCACTAATCAAGCTCCACCAGTTTCTTGTAAATGGGATTGATTTTATTTCTACACCATTTGTCAAGAGGCTTTTTATTATTATTATTTTTGAGCTATTTTTCTTTGTGTAAAATTTATTTTTTTCTCACTTTGAGGAGATGAACATCATAAAAAAACTGGACATCTGGGTTGTTAATGCCTTCTTGGATAATTATTGAGTAAAATGTTCTGTTTTTTCACTTAGAAAGTTTAGTTTTTGGCCTGAATTGGGGCATATTACCCCAGTTTAAATAGGTTTTTGTATTCTCAGAATGCTATCTATCTGTTAAATTCTTAATAATTTTTAAAATCTTATTTCATCAACTAATTAGTTGTTTTTTGACAGTTTTTAATGTTTCTTTTACACTTTAATAAAATAGAAATAAATTGATGGATATGCTTTGTCTCGAGTCACATTTGGGAGTGGCATCATCGCTGACATCACAGGACAGATCTGGTTACAGGAAGTGGAGGAGTTGGTATTAAAATTTGTTTGATTAACAAGAACAAAATAAATTTAAAAGAGCTACCTGCTGAATAACTGAGAAGAAAACCTTAGAAATCGGGGAGAGGAAACAGGTGTGAAATCAGACAGAAGGAGGTGTGGCAGCAGAGGAAGGGAGAGAGTGGCTGCTCCCCACACTTGAGATGCTGTGCTGGCTGAGGGAGGACGAGATGTCGGTTCAGAAACTGCTACAACGAGTGCAGTGTGTCATCACACATGTCGGTGAGTCATCATACATCTCCCTCTTGCTTTATTGATCTGCCTGTTTGTCATTCAGTTTCACTCAGTAGGAACATATAGGGCTTTTTTAAAAATGTAGCCCTTGAAAATTCCCTTTGAGGAAGAAGATGTCCCTGTGATGCTCAGCATGGTAGATTAAAGGGATGCAGGCAACGGTTGCTCTCTCAACAGGACCACTGGGAGTTGAAGGATGCAAGGGGATGCTTTCAGCAAGGACCATGGACAAAATAGAAATATATATATATATATATATATATATATATATATATATATATATATATATATATATATATAATATATATATATATATATATATATATATATATATATACATGTATGTATAATTTGTCATTTCTGCCAGGTTCTCTTAAGATACTGATCCAATTATTACATTTTATGTATATTTACAGAATGCAGTTCTGCAAATGCATGTTAGTTTGACATGTGTAACATTTATTGATTTCATTAAACATCTTTAGATCAGTATTTCATAGACTTAGATCAGCAGCATTCAGCTGTCATCCTCTCTACATTTTTTATATTGGCTCCTTCTTCCAGCTTTTTCTTTCTCCTTTTTTACTCCCTTTGATATTTTCCATCCTTTGCTTATTCTTCCCCTCTGGACCCTCCCTTCTCTTTCCTCTGTCGTTCTTTCTCCTACCTTCCCTTCTGTCGTTCTTCATCTGGGTAATTTTCTGGCCTGCTGTGAATTAGGTTAATGTGCCACGCTGGAGACTACTGCACAGGAGACTGGGGGTGGGGATGCTTGGTGAGTGGGGGGTTATGAAGAGTGTTGCTATGGAAACTGAATTTGAGGGGGAGAGCTGATATATTGTGTTTCCATCACAAGGTTTGCTAGCCTGATAACTGGCTATTGTTCATACTGTATTCTTATTCTTATCAGCATTGATAAGAATGCTGATAAGAATTCTTATCAATGGACCCTCTTACTATTCTCATCTGCCCCTAACAGTCAGCTAATATCCTATTTTTGATGATACCTTTAGTTTTCCTCTTCTTTCATTAACTTTCACTCTATCTGTCAATGTTATCTAATTGCTGTGTTGTTTGGGGTTTCCTTCTTGTCATCATATGTATTAAATACAATATATAATGTTCTATTCAAAGTCTGCTCTAAATTACTACGTCAGTGTTAAACTCTTATCATACCGTGTCTCAGGCTCTCCATTCAAACAAAGAATTAAAGTACTTCTGCAAAATCCAACAGTAGAAGTGATTGAATCAGAATCCCAAAATGTTTCAGTTTTTCTATTTATACCTAAAACTTTCAAAAAATGTAATAAAAATATAACAAGCAATGGTATCATACAATTTGCCATGTCAGGCTTTGATGTTGAATGTCATTTCAGGCTTGCTAACAGATTTTTAACATTACACTTTGAAATTAAAGGAAACACGCAATCATTGAGTTTTCACTGATTACAACATGAATGAAGTTCCTGAATGACTGTCTGATAGAAGGATCAGTAATCACACAAGGTACCTTCAAGTAAATGGTGGCATTAAAACTGTAATGGTGGGTTTGTTTGAAATCAGCCACCCAGAGTCATGGTCTCATCTGTTCTGAGCAGGGGATGCAAATGTCCTAGCTGAGCATCCACTACTTCATTAGTTAAAGGTTATCATGTCACATAAGCTTTATAGTTCCAAAATATGTCAACAAACGTACAAGTTACAGATTTGACGTGATTCACGAGCTTAGCATGAGGTTTGCCAGTAACAAGAAGAAGAAAGTCAGTGTTTGAAGCAGTATTCATAAGGCTGTTGTTCCATTGACAGGAGTGGTTGGTGCTGTTCTCAAATGTTCAAAATCATTGCTATCCAATATCCCTGCCCCCACCAGCCTCTGACCAGCTTTCACCCTGTTGTCTGTGTTCTGTCTGCTTCCTCTTCCTATTTGCTGCAAGGGGGAGAAGGTGGGAGGCCAGAGAATGGATTGTATATCCTCTTTAAAGTGTTTGTCTTCCGTCCAGTTGATCACACCTGACCACAACAAGAAAATAGAACAATAGGGTTGGTCTTCAGTTGGTCTTTAATTTCACAGTTTGGCCTAATTTTCTCTCTTCTTACATTGTACTAAGCAGCTCATGACTGAGCACAACAGCTCAGTCAGGTTGAGTAAGCTGGTGAGTCTGCAGATAAAAAGTGAATGAGTGCCCGCCAGCCTCACTGACTTAGAGAAGTTTTGGTCATGCAAAACCTATTGAATACTTCTCCACTTCTGTGCAGAAAAATGTAACTGACATAATGGAATGCTGTTTCAGGAGTTCTGAAAGTAGTTCGCAATCACCGAGGTTAATTAGTAAAGTTAAACAAAGTGAAGGTGAGGCTGTATAGTAAATAAAAAGAAGGTTTGTTGGTTGCCGCTCCAGGGGGTCTCAGAGACATGAGCAAAACAACTATTTACTCTAACTCATTGCTAGTCATGTCATGTTTCTATCAATGTTCTTTTGTGCTCATTTGAAGGTATTATATTAAAAAACGTTGATGGGAAAAATTCAAAATGACCTCAATTTTGCAAAAAATATTTAACCCATGCTGAAGGAGGTTAAGCAAGGGTTAACCTCCTTGCTTTGGTTTTTCAAAACTAAAAGACAGAAATAATGCAGTAATGCGCTGTGTTGCCCTGTGATGATCTGGAAGTTCAGGGTAGCCCAAGACACAAACCCTACAACATAAAAAAAAAAAAAAAGGGATTTAAGTTAAGGTTTCATGTTTACGGTTTTTCAGAAATTCCAAGATATTATTCAACATAATATCTTGAATAATATTTCATTATGATTAATGGAGTAATCGCCTCTCAATGGCTGCCACCTTATTGTGAGAAGCGCTAGGCAGGAGTGGGCATACTTGTCCCCGATCTTGGTGCCTGCACGTTGGGGTTTAACTCGGTGAACAAGAGGATAGCCTCCCTCCACCTATGTTTGGGTGGACGGGATGTGACTGTGATTTGCTTATGTGGTGAACAGTTCAGATTACACACCCTTTTTGGAGTCCTTGGAGGGGGTACTAGAGAGTGCCCCTCCTCGGGATTTCCTTGTTCTGCTGGGGGACTTCAATGCTCACATAGGCAATGACAGTGAGACCTGCAGGGGTGTGGTTGGAACAGTTTGAGTTGTTCCATGAAGTTAGAACAGAAAGCTAAAAGCTTTCTTCCCACTTTCTGTTCTAACATGGGGCAAAGTTTAAAGTTAACAAAGATGAAATATTGATTGAAAGATACATTTCATCTTTGCCATGTCACCCATAGCAACTCTGAAAGTAACAGTTACTTGATTCTGCTATAAAATGACACTGTACCAGAAAATGCATAATTCTGCTCCTTTTAACCCAACCATAAAAGTATTCTATACAACAATTAAAAACACCAAATCTGCAAATTATGCGAATGTGTTTAAGTTTATGTTTTTTACAATGTGTAACTAAGAAAAATATGGAGAAGGTTATGAGGGAAGGAAAACCTGGAGTAAATATGGAAGGATGCAGAGAGGAGGGGAAGTCCCTGCCATGTAATGACATATTGTTGAGGATATTTGTGTAAAATGTGATAAAAAGCAGAGCAGCTAAGCGACTCACGGGGTTACTGGGTAGGATTCAGCTCCTCCTCAATGAAAACACTGCTGCACACACATTCTGTGCGTATGTACTGCAATTGTACTCAATTGTACTAGTTACAAGTTGGGCAATTGCACACACACACCCACGTACACACACACATTTTCACAGTCCAGTGACCTAAAACACGCAGGGTGCCTCTGCTATACACCGGAGGTGTGGAGGGGTCCTGCAGTTGCCCTGAGGACTATGCTGTGGGAGTGTCTGTGGACCCTGTGCTTCAGTGGAAGTTTTGCTTGTGTGTGCCACTTCTACATTTGCTGGACTGAATGCTGGACTGAATGCTGGCACAGCTGCGGTTTATCTGCACACTGTTGGACAGAAAGAACAGCAGCATGGGATCTGTAATATGTAAGTGATGACTGCGATAGCTGCTGGTGTGTTTGTGAAGCTGACTTTGTAATGAGAGGTCAGAGTAAAGAACAGACATGCTGAGTTTCAATTTGCCAGTGTAAAAGTCGGTAATATCCACAGGAGAGCAGAGAAGCTGATTAGTGGGTCAAGTATGAGATGGGATATATTTCAACTAATAGGAACCTACCTCTCATAAGTAGCACAATTGGAATTAAAATGAATCTCTTGTCTTGATGGAGAGAATATTGGGTAAAAATGTGTGTAAATCGATACCAAGATAAATTAGATTAGTGTGATTAGATTTAGATTTCCCCCTGAAACGTAATTTTATTTTCTATCTTAAAAATTATTTTGTTCAGATTTTCTCTCAAATAACGACCTAAAGGTGAGAATCGGTATTTGGTGTTGATAGAATTGCTGTTCTGAATGTTCTTTAAAAACTGTCTCTAAATAGCTTGCCAGACATGTTTGTCCATTACCCCTGACATATAGTTTTTTTTAGAGCTTTACATTCACACAACCTCCAAATCCAACTCAAAGTTGATGTTTTATTTTCATTTTTCCATATGTGACCTTCATCTGGATTTTCCGTGACAGTCTTAACAGCATAATTCCAGTCTTTTCACCAAACCCAACTTTTACTTTATTGGAGATTAAATATTCTGTTGAGAGTCCTGAGAAGAGGTGCTGATAGAAGTGTTCTTTGACAATCTCACATTATGAAATAAGTTTATCAGTGAAACACATCTCTCCTGGTTCTGACTACTTATCCGAACAGACTTCTTTACAAAAGTTACAACAATTTTCCATAAAAGGCCATTGCTTTTAATTGTGCTTTCGTTTTGCTTATTGCCTTTATTCTTGTTATGATCTCGCAGTAATACTGCTGGTTCCCATTGCTCAGTAATCTATCCACAGACGACGACAATCCATTCTTACTTCTGTAAACAGAGCGCTACTTTGTGCATGCAGGTCGTAAACTGTTCACACAA